ACAAACCTGAGTGAACGCGTGAGAGTGGGGGGGCGACAGCATCCAAACATCCCAGTTCACCACAACACTCTATGCCTGTGAACCCTCCAGACCTGCCCCTGTACCTAAGAAAAAACTATTCACAAAAGGCTTGACTAAACAAATATGTTTTCAGCCGAGACTTAAACACTGAGACTGTGTCTGAGCCCCGAACACTAAGGGGAAGGCTGTTCCATAACTGTGGGGCTTTGTAAGAGAAAGCTCTACCCCCAGCTGTAGCACGCACTATTCGAGGTACCAACAAATAGCCTGCACCTTTTGATCTGAGTAGGCGTGGCGGATCATAAAAGACCAAAAGTTCACTCAGGTTCCTTTGTTCTGAACTGAGTCAGCAAAAGGGAACTCCATACCCAATACTTCTCAACTTTAAGAATGTTCCTTCTTTGTTTGTGTTCTGTCTTATTCTATGTCAATGTAGTCGCTGGGTTGAGCATTAAGTCCATATGTGGAACATGCCCTACCACATGCTGTATCAAACAAGAGGGCAAGAGTCTAAGGTTAACTTACAACTCAGTTACGGCAACTTCTCACATGGTGGGAAGCCGGGCGCTACCTCCGAAATCATGTATTCAAACCGACATTATAACGCAACCTTACTATTAATGAAATTACATAATATTAGATCTGATGGACGAGTTAATATCACTCACAAAGAGCGAGAGTGTGTTTCGTGAGGGCTCTGTTATGTGTTTCACGGAGACATGGCTACACGACAATATACTGGACTCTACCGTGAGTTTAGACCGCTTCCAGTTAGTGTGAGCGGACAGGACCTGCAGCGATAGCGTCAAGAAGAAAGGTGGGGGAGTCACTATTTATATCAATAACAGATGGTGCAACCCTGGACACGTTACAGTGAAAGAAAGTGTGTGCTGCCCCAGACATTGAACTGTTAGCAGTAAGTATTCGCCCATATTACTTGCCCAGAGAATTCTCCCAGGCTATTGTGATTGTTGTATACATTCCTCCAGTGGTGACTGCATCGCGGGCTGATGACATCATCACCTCTATGACTGCTAGATTACAAACGCTGCACCCAAATGCCTTCGTAGCGATCTCAGGGGATTTTAACCACGTCACATTGACAAAAACTCTGCCCACTTTTAAACAGTTTGTGGACTGCAAGACCAGAGATAACAAAACACTGCACTTGCTGTATGCTAATTTTAAGGAAGCATACAGCTCCACAGCCCTTCCTCCTCTGGGCAGATCAGATCACAACCTGGTCTACCTTAAGCCTCTCTATGAACTGATAGTCCAGCGGCAACCCGTTATCACCAGAACTGTCAGGAGGTGGTCACAGAAAGCAGAGGAGACTCTCCAGGGCTGCTTTGAGGTGACAGACTGGGATGTTCTCTGTAATGCACACGGGGATGACATAGATGTATTTTCCCTTGCAGCATAAAAGTAAAGAATTCTTAGGACCTCTGTTGGATTGCCTAAACGAATTACAAATATGGTTAAAAATGGTTTGTCTTAAGTTTCGCCACAGGACTTCTGTTTTCAACTCTCCAAGTGACCGGCGCGCAGCAACACGGTGCCAGCTCTTTTGTTTACACCAGAGATCAGCTGATCGCATTGCAACCGGCCGACATTTTTGATCCAACTTTGTATCGGACCTTAAACATCCCTGATGAGATATGAAGGAGGACAGTGAGAGGATGCAGAGGTGGAAGAAAACGGCAGAGAGGAAAAGTTGAGCGGAGCCAAGCAGCGCGCAAAGAGAAGGCGAGGAAATATAAACCGTATCTCCCGTCTCTCATTATGGGTAATGTGAGGTCACTGGACAATAAGATGGATGAGCTGACAGCTTTAGTAAGAAGGGAGAACATCTTTCGAGAATGCAGTCTGATGTGTTTTATGGAGACTTGGCTACATGATGGCATACCCGATTCCAGCATTAATATAGACGGCTTCAGTACAGTGCGGGGAGACCGGAGGCGAGAGGAGTGCGGTAAGAGGAGAGGAGGAGGACTGGCTGTTTATATTAACAACATGTGGTGCCACCCGGGTCATGTAACTGTGAAAGAGCGTGGTTGCAACCCCGATATTGAACTTTTGGCTGTGGGGCTTCGCCCATACTACATGCCCAGAGAGTTCTCTCACGCCATTGTAATAGCCGTCTACATTCCTCCATCCGCTAATGCTGCGGGCGCATGTGATCTCATACACTCAGTCACTGCCAAACTTCAGACCCGCCACCCCGATGCCTTGTACCTCATCTCCGGTGACTTCAATCAAGCGTCCCTCACGAAAACTCTTCCCACCTTCACTCAGTATGTGGATTGTCACACCAGAGGTGTCAGGACCAAAGACTTGATGTATTCAAATGTTAAAGGGGCCTACAGCTCTTCAGCCCTCCCCCTGCTAGGCAGGTCAGATCACAACCTGATCCATCTCCTTCCAACATAAAAACCTCTGGTTCAGAGGCAACCTGCTACTGTCAGGAAGGTGAGGAAATGGTCTGAAGAAGCCAATGCTGCCCTGCAGGAGTGCTTTGAGTCTACAAACTGGGAGGTGCTCTGTGAGCCACAGGGTGAGGACATTGACCAACTGACTGACTGCATCGCGGAATATATCAATTTCTGTGTCGACATCTGCATGCCCCTGGAAACTATCCATTGCTTCCCTAACAATAAACCCTGGGTCACCAAGGACATTAAAGCTGCTCTCAATGATAAAAAGAGGGCTTTTAGGACTGGTGATAGGGAGGAAGCTAAGAGGGCTCAAAGACTGCTGTCTGTCAAGATAAGGGAGGGAAAGGAGAA